TTACTTTGAATCTTATCATCTGATCTTCTCTCTTCATCCTTTCCAAAATTCGTGATTCATATCGACCAGAGTCCAGAATTCCGTTACTCATTCATCAAATTGCAATTAAACTTGATGTTTTATGTGTTCCACTAAACGTATTTATGGTGCAGCATAAATAGTGAAGTAAAAGAAAACCGTCGAGTTGTCTTCTAGAGACAGTTTTAGATATTTGAGGAAGTTATTGGGGTTCAAAGAGTTTTTTTTAGAAAAAATAGACAACTCTAGAGTCTAGACATTTTGGGAAGTGATGGATCTTGTTGAAAATTAAGATGTAGAAGGTGCTATGGAGTGTGACATTCACTGCACATTCGGGTTCATCTACTGAAACAAAATTCGATGGCTACTGCGATATATATAACTTTGCGATGATTTAATAACGGAACCGCGAGTACATTTTATGAGACTGTGACGTACGATCCACCTGAAATATCATTCGGTTGCTTCCTTTACCGAGGGTTCATATTTCTTTCATGGGTTGGTCCAAGTTGTGAGCTTTACACGATAAATTTTCAATATAGTTGGAGTGTTCTGTGAAAGTAAAAAATCCTGACTTTATAGCATTCAGTTGGATCTATTCGGTTAAATTTCATTGTGCGAATGGAATTCACTGAGGGAAATTTCCAGTTGCAATACCTCAAACATTTATCAATAGCTTTTCCATCGGTGGTACAGAATTCGAAACTTTTCACTTTTGATTTTGATTCAATACCGTGTGGATTAATATTTTGAAATTTATTCATGGGATAATAGGAAATTCTGTCACACAAACATACCAGTTTTTTCGTTTTTTCGCTTTTTCGCTTTTTGGCTTTTCACCAGAGCTCTGTTTTTAATCAGTCTTTGATTACAGGTACGATCGTGTGCAGAGGGAAAAATAAATGAATTTCTTGTCGATACCTCGCGTTTAGTTCGTTGAATTTCCAATACACTGTATTTTCCCCATTCTTTTTCCAACTTCCTTGTCTAGTGAAGTGGTCAATCGGTTTAAATCTTTTTTGTTTTCCAAAGTAGTTTTTTAGATAAATCAACGGTCAAAGCACTGGAGATTATCGGTTTGCTCGCCCTTGGAGAATTCACTTCTTTCGTAAATAAAGATCTGTAGGATTGTCGGATGCTATTCGAAAATAAAATAAACGTTAAGTAACAAAAAATTGAAAATTTCGGCATTTCTGTGGAACTCTTCATTGGCGAATCAGATAGGTTTTTGAATTTATATACGAGACATTCTCAATTTTCACCACAAGGACATTTGTGGGGAATAGTTTACACAGAAAATATACTTGCGTGGCTTTCTAGTGCCCTAATTAACTACAACTTGCAAGCAATAATTAATTGCTTGGTGAATTTCTGAAGAAATCTCTCGAAACATTTAATAAAAGCCATAACATAATTATTTTTTGATTGAAAACCCAATGAAAAGACCATGTCTCTTTCACAAATGCAAACTTTCTCAAATATTTTCTCCAACTCCGTTGAGACAACCTGAATTCCTTTGACATTCAATTTTATGAAATAGTTAGATCATTTTATACTACAGAAAATATTAATTAGTATTTAGAGATAAAATGAAATTTTCACTCATGACATTAGCAATTGCACATGAATTTACATGAATTTAATTCATAACTACAAATATTTCCTCATTTTCCGTGAAGTAGATTGAATTTAATGAAAATTATTAATAATAAAATAATTACGTTAATCACTTCGTGTTGTGCTTCGTTGACTTTTCCAATTTGCAATACAGATGCGAATATTCCTATAGGATGAGAAATAAAACTGCATTAATGCTTGTAATATTCATAATTAGTGATATGACGTATCTGATAATAAGTGTAATTACAACGAATTTCTCGGTGACAAAACAAATTCATCCAACAGCTCGTAAGATAAATTCCACGTAAATCGATCAATCGTTCTAATATTTCGCGAAGCAATCAACATTTTCAAAACTGAAAACTATAAAAAAAAGTTGAAGCAACAACCCCCAGCAGTTTCACCCTAAAACTCCAATTACTCCCAAACTCGAGTTATTAAAACTTTATGTTTGTGTATCAAAGCATTTTAATGAAGAAACAACATTTCTTCATGAAGTTTGATGTTATAATTATATTTGTTGTTGCCTTCAGCGTAGAGATAGCTTAAGCAGGGGTTGCTGAGTGTGATGATATTACCCGAATACATTCCCTCAACGTAAACAGCCTTTCAGCCAACAATTATAAATAAATATCTATCCAAAAAATCAAGAGAAACTGGCGACAATTCATTTAATTTCACCCAATAATTTCTGCACACGAGAAACATAAACTCAAATTACGTTTAATAAATTCTCTTTTTCCGTGTCCCATTCACAATTTTAAACCAATTTTTATTATTATAAATTATATATCATATAAATTATCATTATAACATTAAATGTGGACTCTTTCTGAAACAATGTTAATGGTAATAACAATCAGACATTCTAATACTATTGATAAATAATAACGAAATTATAAATTAGATAGCTTTCTCTCATGAATCCTTAAGGTTGTTGTCGCGCGACAGTCTCTGTAAAAAGTTTATCCGCTGTAAAACGGGCCGGTTTAGAACACAATCTTTTAGCGGTATATAGTCTTACTTGATTGATTGCATTGTGCATGGATAGCTAAAGCATAACTATATATTTTCCATATTAACTATTTTCAATTATATAAATTTATGAATTTCCGATAATTATATTCCGTAAACCAAACGGTCAATCGAT